CATGGTAGCAGAAAAAAAAAAAAAAACCAAAAAAAAACCAACTTTTATTCAAGCAAAACGAAAACTTTTCGCTGACTAATCGAAAAGCAAAGCCGAGCCGAATCACGCCCAGGTTTAGCTTGACGATTAGCGTGATTCTAACATACTTAGCAATATATAATTATAATTATAATTATAATAATTTTTATAATTATTATAAATTTATGCATATGCGCGATAGACCGGAACAGACGTCGCATATGAGTAGCGGGTTTTTTGCTGTTATACCCTCAACGTATTGGCAAGCGGCAAAACGGGTATATTGTTTTTGTGCCAATGTATGCAACAGGCAGAGGAAAGCATCTTTATATATATATATATATTCTATCGATATGAGAAACTACCCAGGCGGAGACTTCAAATATTCTCCTCTAAGCAAAACGAGGTTCTATTTGATTTTTATCGATATTTTCTGCGTTATTAATGTTATCGATAAAAGTCGATTTACAGACAGAAGCCAGGCTGAAGATATATATATACAAATAAATATATTCTTGTGTTCTCAGAAACTACCAAGCCGTAGATTTTATATTTCATAGCAAAACGAGGTTATATTTTGTGTTTATCGATATCTTCTGCGATATTACTTTCGATAAATATCGATAAAAAAGACAGCAGCCAGTCTAGAGTCCTTGTAACGGCAGCTTGGCGCCATGCTTAGGGTATCTGCTGGCCGGGCATGCCCTAGTAGAGCACTTGTTAATTGCTTTTGTTTGTTTTTTTCTTAACACAACAACACATGAATGAGTCGGGCTTCGGGGTTCCAATGCATTTGGCAAAGACAAAAAAAGCTGTTTCCGTCTAAAGAAAAAGCGAGCGAATGAATCATCAGCTGCCGCTGTCGCTGCCGCTGCTCTGCTACGTTTATTTGTTTGGGCCAAAGCCAGGCCCCGACTGCTCAAAGCGGAGGTCAGTAAAAACGACAACAACAACAACAACAATAGCAACAACAATAGCAACCACCGTACAAAGATGACAATGAGTCGGCGACAGAAGCTGCAGGCTACGAAACTAATTGCAGGAGCTGCAGCAGCAGCACAAAGAAGAAACCAACGTAAATAAGCGAAAATTGGTAAAGTATAAAACAAAACAAAATTATATAAAAAGGCGAAAATGAATGTGAATTCATTTTGGTTGAGCACGATAAAACGTCGCCTTCGTGTGTGTGTGTGTGTGACAATTGCTGTACGCGTGCGTATGTGTGTGATGCTGCGATTGATGATGATCTGATGTGTGTGTGTGCAAGCGAGAGGGAGAGGGAGCTGGGCAGCGGCAGATGAATTGTTGTTGTTACACTGCAGGCAAACAGCCGTTTGTTCTTTATCATGGCAGCAAGAACAAGAACAGCTGGCGCTGAATGCATGCGCAATGTTTCAAATTATATTTTGAAGCCACATATGCACACACACACACGCACGCACACAGGCACACGCATTAACAGACGCACACGCACACATGCAGCGCCATAACAGTAGCTATTACATATTATTAACTGGTCAAGTTACGCTTACCCGCAGCGCTGTTGTTGTTGTTAATAGGCAGCTGTGAATTTTGTTTGAAGGATTTCCAGAGTGCGCCACTAAATATAATTATAATTTGATTGCATTTTGCTATGCTGCAGGTTAATCACACTGCCTAATTTACTATGCACATTCACTGGCTTAAATCACTAAACCAACAAAACAAAAAAAAAAAAAAACAAAAACAACAACAATAACGATTTTGATGTGTTATTCGAAATTGGTAACAAGTTTGTACGCAGGCGGACCGGGCATTGTTCGCTCTTTGTTGCTCACAAAAATGATGATAATGCCCTGTGCTGGAGATCTATGGTGGCTCTTGTTGATTAAACAAACACAAATAACGGTCACATTCGGTGGCACTTGTTGGTGAACAAGCGAATTTATTTTGAAATTAAATGCATTAATGCAGAATACACGTCCGAATCTAGCGGCGAAACAACAACAAATGATGTTAGTGCTATGTTAATGTTAAGCCGCTGTTGTTCTCAAATGACACTGTTATGCACTCAGTGCGATCGCTAACAGTAGGGTGACCAGTCTCTCATTAATTCAACCAATTTATCACTTATCGACTTGACAGTCTCATTTCGAGTATGCCCAAAAACCGACAGATGTTAACGGCCAAATAACTAAACTGCAATATTTGTGCATATAATAAATATATATACAAATTTGCCAACTATTTGTAGACTGTCACGCAGCTGCACAGCTGCGCCAGTTGTTGGCAATTTTGAAAGTCCAGCAATAATACTCGCTAGCCGGAAACGGAAATCAAACAGCGCCTGAACTTGACAGCTTACAACATGCTTACAATAAATAAAAAAATATGATGCCACAGTTAATTTAAATTGCCTACGCTGTCTGGCTTTTGCTGGCCACAATGAAAAATGCCTTGGCAGCCTGATTTATGCTCCTCATCCTGCAATTGAAACAAGTTTCACTTTGACGTCAGACATAGCGCAAAATCTGGTTCAAAGCTGTCACATTAAAAAACACACACACACGCCGTTTAATTACGATTTCAAATCATAAAAGCCAGTCAAACAAGATGGCAAATAAATCATCTTTTCACTTTCAGATGTTTCAGCAAAGTTATGTCAAACAATAATGAAAATAAAGCACAAATGCGGCAGTGTTCGACTCAGAGTGACCATGCATTCAGCTGCAGGCAACCGTTACAAGCATTCTTTAGCAGCCGCTGTGCTTCTTCTTGCCTTGGTCGCCATTTTGTATGGGAAATGAGTTCTTGATTAACTTCGGAGTTTACGGTGCGATCTAAATGGAATTTTTAGGGCTTAAATATGGCAAACAGAAATGTATCTATACGAAAGCTCAAGTATCTAGCTTCACAAATTGATATGTAATAATGGATTTACCCGTTTGGGGGGGGGGGGGGGGGGGGCGGTGGGAGAGTTTGAGTTCATATACCCTATTTAGCCATTTTATACGATTGCAGGGTATAAAAATGGACACAATATTTCTTTAACTTCACTTGGTTGCTTTTTGTACCATCGCGAAATATGAAAACATTTTATTTGCAGTTATAATACGCATAAATGTTTGCGGTTATGTTAGTGCGAATTTGTTTGCTCGCAGATTAAAACACGTTTTTGCTAATCGCACCAATTAAAAGTTGATGCAACAAGTTGCCTCTGATCCGTTTAGCTTGATTTTCAACAAAACATCCGCATCCCGCGACGAGATCAAGATTGCAAAAGTGAAACCCGGAATCCCCTCGCTCTCGCTCTCGCTCTCCCTCCCCCCCCCCTCCCCCCTCACTCTGTCTCACACATTTAACGACCCACTGACAACACGCACATAAAACTTGTACCTATATCTCTGTTGCACTGTTCAACATAATTAGTTAATCAGCGGATTACTGGACTGGCATAGTCCACATAGCTGCTGTCGCAGCCAGTTTGCGAGCCTGCGGAAAATGTTGTCGTTATGTGGCACGATGATGTTTCACATTAAAATCGCATTTTCACAACTTGCTGGCGCTCAATATCTTGTCAACCTGACTTTTATTATAAGCTATGGTGTTGATAGGAGCGTCAGAGCGTGTAACGACCGGTTCAAGCTTTTTCCCATGGCCATGGGTTTGAACTCGTACCCTTATTCACCAAATCGTTGCAGCTTATTTCCACCTTGAAGTTTATTAATTTGCTTATGATTTTGCTTTGATCATGATTTTGAGGGCCTTCGGAAGTTTAACATAATATGCACACATGATAGTTTTCACGAATTTTCCACTCTTGCAGGTGGAATAGAAAAAAAATCTTGTCTTAGCGTGCTTTCCGATCTACATATATATACATATAAGCTATATATATTTGATGAGAGCGCGTATTAACCAGCTTTGATCGATTCAAGCCTTTTCCCTTAGAAATGGGTTTGAACTCGCTTCCCTAATCACCCATTCTTGGCAGCCCATTTTCCACCATGGAGAGCTGGTGTCAGTTTCTCAAATTAATTTTCATATAGAAATGAGCAGAAGGTTGATTTACAATGAATATATGCAAATAATCACTTTCCGCGAATTTTCCACTCTAACAGGTGGAATTGAAAAAACCTTGCCTTAGCGTGCACTCACACACATTTACACATATATATATATATACATTTATCTGCATAAACAAGTGATAAAAAGGTAATTTATCACAATTCATTCAGTCAGTCAGTCAATCAGCTTTATATATGTTTATCGAGATTAGACGCTAATCACGCCTCTTCGCCTGCCACTTATATATAATTTGATTTGTCACACCGTGGGGTAAATCGATTGCCTGTCGCTTAAAATATGCGCCAATTATGCAGCTGTTCGTGTTGACTGCAAATCGGGTAAGCTGAAGGCTTACATCTTGTAATCCCTGCAATGCGGCAATCTACTTTACTTTAAATGCCAAAGCCGATGTTGGTTTTGTCAAAAATTCGAGAGAAATTAAGCTCCGTTTTTCTATATATAGCAAAAATTAATAAATATACAAGATTAGATATCTTGCTTTAAGATATTGAGAAATGCGATATTGATGTAAATGTCATCTAAATATAACCAGAATTTGCAGACTTTTTAATTTCCGTGCGATTACAGTTTCTCAGTTCGACTATATGCTCATATTTGTCGGACTTGGAAATGCCGAAATTTTAGATAATATCTCTGAGAACCACTTCTTTGATATACCTTAAATATCAGGCCACGCCCACTGCGGCGCGGAACTCAATATGTGTCGAAGTTTATGGCTCTAGCATCAGCATATGATAATATCCTTTAAATAACGAGCACCCATTTGCGTTTGCCCTTCAAAACATTCTACGGTGCGCGCAATTAAATGCTCGTTAGGGCAGGACGCGTGTCGATAACAATTAGGGCGATAACAATCGATTCGAATCCAAAATGGGCAGCACTGGCCGGCAAAGTACCGCAATAAGTGCGCAGTCATGTGGCGAATGCAAATGCGGCGACATCGCATTGGTCAGCGCTGCCAACGCCTGCGCCAGCAGCTGCAGCAGCACGGCCGTGCTTGGCTGGAGCAACTGCAGCAGCGCAGGGCGTGGCGCGTGGGCTGCGCCCGCCCACGGCACAGCCACTCGCACGACGGCAGCTTCCATCAGGCGGTGGCGCCAGGTGAGCTACAGCCCCGCCGACTGCGGCATCAGCTGCCTCCAATCGATTCTTCCCCAATCTCCGTTTTGCAGTGCTCGTCCTTGCCCAGTGCTTCAGCCTGATGCCGGTGCGCGGCGTGCGCGCGGCGTCCGCCCGGGGCCTGTACTTCAGCAGGCACAGCTGGCGCACCTGGTACAGTCTGGTCTACATTTGCTGCACCTCGGTGGATACGCTCTTCACCATCAACCTGGCGGTGCATGGCACTCTGGATGTTCGCAGTGTGGGTGAGTATGGGCGATCAGGTGCTTTGATGCTGCTGTACTCATTAGCTTAAAATCGATAAGTATCGATTATACGAGACTTTTTTGGACATATATTTCAGATTGTCATAAATACCCTATTTAATTGACGTCCAACAGCTACACAAATATTGTAATACGTTATCTCCTCAGAATCGATAAATATCGATCATACGCGGCTATTTTGAGCATATCTTTGACACTGTTATGCCCAGCACTAAGTCATAAATACCCTATTTGAATTGATTTCAATAGCTATAGGGTATACGAATATTGTAATACGTAATCGCCTCTCAATTGCTCTGAATCGATAAGTATCGATTATATGCCTCGGCTCTTTGAAGTCATAAATACCCCATTTGTATTGTTTCGAGTGATTACAGGGTATACCAATTGCTTAATGCGTAACTTCCTGACTCTTTCCAGAACCGATTGTATTCCACGTGAGCATTTTGTGGGGCTCCTATTACTTCCTGCAACTGGCGCGCCGTTGGCCAGCCCTGATGCGGCGCTGGGCACACGTGGAGCAGCAGCTGCCCGGGTATGAGAACTGGCGGCAACGCGAGCATCTCACGCGGCGCATTCACAGCGTGTCGCTGGCCCTGCTGACGCTCTCGCTGAGTTGAGTATGAAATTTGTAGGCCCTGCAGCCAGGAAGAAGATCGAAGAGATCTCATTAAATATATATATGCATATATTCTAGATCGGGACGACAAGTCGGTTTGTTTGCAATTCAAAAAGGTTTAGACTTAATATTTGACATGTTATCGATATTTTCTAAGGATAGCTTCGAGTGGGTTACTTCCGACTCTTCGTCCATCTCTTCCACTCAAATCATCTCACCTCTCTTGTTTCCTGCAGTGGAGCACCTGCTCAGCATTTTGTCGGCGGTTTATCATGACTATTGTCCCATGCGCAAGGATCCCATCGAATCGTATTTGTATGCTGACGCCCAGCAGCTGTTCTATGTCTTTCCCTACTCGAACTGGCTGGGCTGGCTGGGCAAGATCCAGAACGTGATGCTCACCTTCGGCTGGAACTACATCGATCTGTTCGTCATCATTGTGGGCATGGGTCTCAGCGAGCTGCTGGCGCGGCTCACGCGCCAACTGCAGCATCTCGTGCAACAGGTGAGTCCTCAGAGTCCTCATTCACTTTGCATATTTCTGGAGCCAAGTCTTGTTTGCAGCCCATGCCGGAGGTATTCTGGACCTATGTGCGCACTCGATATCGCTCCATTGTCGAGCTCATCTACGATGTGGACGAGGCTGTCTCCGGCATTATGCTAATCTCCTTCGGCAGCAATTTGTACTTTGTCTGCCTGCAGCTGCTCAAGAGCATCAAGTGAGTAGTATATGTATATATATGCATATTTACATGCATACGTACATACATACATACGCACATACATACATACATACATACATACATACATACATACATACATACATACATATATACATATATACATACATACATACATACATACATACATACATACATACACACATACATACATACATACATACATAAATACATACATACACACATACATACATACATACATACATACATACATACATACATACATACATACATACATACATACATACATACATACATACATACATACAAACATACATGCATACATACATACATACAACAACAACAAAAAAACTACAACAACAAAAAAACTACAACAAAAAAAAAACTACAAAAAAAAAAAACACCAAAAAAAAACAACAACACTACTAGCTAAGCATGAAAAGCTGCAGAGCCTACTAGAATTCTTGAGAATCGAGGAGGAGAGCACTTGTTAAAAATTCGTTTTATTTAAATTTGCAGCACAGCGAAAAATAAGCTTGGCCTGCGTTTGGTATTAGAAAACAAACATACATGCATACATATGTACATAAATGCATACATACATGCATGCATACACTAACACACACACACACACACGTATACACACACACTTACACACACATATATAATACTTATTTGGCTTCGTATAAAAAACTTGTATGCAATATTTTACCTGTGAGAGTTCAATAAAATATCTCTCTCTGTTTCGATCTCTTTCTCTCTCCCCCTCTCTCTCTATCACTCTCTCTCTTTGTCTCCACGTTCATTCTTAAGCAGAATGAACTCCATTATGCACTCCGTTTATTTTTACTTCTCGCTCTCATTCTGTTCATCTTCCATGTGCAGCCTGTCGCCCTTGAGAGAGCATTTGTGTTTCCAATTCCGCTTTGATTTGCTGTTCGTAAACGTTTTGCCATATTAAAAATAAACTTGACAGCACAGTTGTTATATATAGTATATAAATGTACAAGAGTTTAAAGAATTACCTATCGCTTTCCTTCTCACTTTCTGTTGGCCTTTACGTTCATTTCCTTTCACTTCTCGCTCACATTCTATTCTTCGCACTTCTGCTTTGATTTGCTGTTCGTAAACGTTTTACCTCATCTAAAATTTAAGAAAACTGTTGTCACATATCATATACTAACTGTGAAAGACTTTAATGACATACCTCTCTCTCCCTCTCTTTCTTTCTTTCACTCTCTCTCTCTTTCTTTCTTTCTCTCTCTCTCTGTTTCCACGTTGATCCTTAAGCAAAATGCCCTCGATTGTGCATGCCGTTTACTTTTACTTCTCGCTCTCATTTCTTATCGGGCGTTCGTTGTCGGTTCTGCTGTTTGTGTCCTCGGTGCACGATCGGTCGCGGGAGCCGCTGCGTCTGCTGCAGCTGGTGCCGACCGGCGGCTATCATGGCGAGGTGTCACGCCTTGCCAGCGAGCTGTCAAGCGATAATGTGGCGCTGAGCGGCCTGCGGTTTTTCAGCATCACCAGGAAGCTCTGTCTGGCAGTGAGTGGAACGGAACGCTTGGCTCCAGCTGAATTGTGGCAGCTAACAAGTGGCATTCATTTCCAATTTCCATTTGTTTTTATTCCAATACCCTGAACCCAATCGAGAAGGGGTATACTGCTTGAGTGTAGACGCATGTAACAGGCAGATGGCAGCAACTCGAAAAATCATCAAGTAGCTATTCTTGTCCGTCAATCTGGAAAACTACAAGAGCATGGTTTCTACTAAGCCAAAGGCAAAACGAGTTTACAATAGTTTTTTGGATATCTCCATGAAATTTGCATAATATCGATAAATATCGGTTTTTTAGATAAGGTTTTCTAGGCATAACTCGCGTATTACTAGAGGGAGATGGACAAAACTTGGTATGTAGTTTATCGTAAGGTATAAGCATACTGAAAATGGAAAAGAAGTCATTTCTAGAGAAAGACTCCTGCGGGAAAATTTCAGAGAGATCTCGAGTTACTTGAGAAGCGTGAAGAAAGGCAGACTGTGGGTTCAGGGTATCTGTTAGTCGTGCATTCTCGGCTGAATTTTGCGTTTGATTCAATGCAGGTCGCGGGCAGCATTGTTACCTACGAGCTGGTGCTCATACAATTCCACGAGGATGAAAAGTCATGGGACTGTGTCGCACAGCCGCCGCTCCACTAGGAGCACAAATCAATCAACAACCAAAACGAAAAGAAAAGAAAAGAAAAGCCGCATACACTGTGCTACAGAAACGGCAACTGGTGAACCAGTTTGGGCAGCTGTGCTTATTGTGATGCAATGCGGCCATACATGGTGCATGCGCCGGCTTCCTAATCATGCGAGCCGCGCATTTCAACCAGTTGACCAAATGCCAATGCCAATTGGACGCAGCCTGGACGCAGCTGGCCGTCTGCTGTTGACGCTTCCGGTCGACCGCCCGCCGCCGCCAGACTCTAACCCAATTCAGGCCCGACTGCCTGGCTGCCTGGCTGGCCGACTGGCTGCTCTGGAGTATATAAGCTGGCTGGCGGGCATTCGACGCGCAGACAATCATCGCGCATCCAACTGTATCAACCATGGTGGGACTCAAGTGTAGCAGCCAGTGCCTCGCGCTTTCGTGCATCCTTTTGGTCAGCTGTTTCGGCTGGGTGACGGCCCAACAGTTTGTGCTGCCCGGGCGTCCGCAGCGTTCGCTATTTGGTCCACCGCCGCCCGGACCGTGGAGCAGCAGCGGCTGGAGCAGCAGTCCCAGCTTTGAGCTGCCGACGCATCATGAGCACAATCACATAACAAGGGATGAGGTGCTGGCTCTGTTGGCCGCCTGGAAGGCAGCGGATGCCAAGCCGCCAGCTAAGCCGGAGCCGGAGGCCGAACCGGAGCCGGAGCCCGAGGCGCCGGAACCGGAGCCAGAGCCCGAGGAGCCCGCACCGGAGCCAGCGCCAGGACCACAGCCGGCCGTGCCATTGACCGTCTCGCTGCCCGCCTTTGTGCCCATCCAGCTGTCCGCCATGTACACGGCGCCCGCGCCCGTGCCCGGCGCTGGTCTGGCCGCATTTGGCTTCGGTGGCGGCTTTGGCGGTGCCGGTGGAGCTGGTGGTGCCGGTGGTGCCGGCGGTGCTGGTGGTGCCGGCGGCGGTGGTGGTGCTGGAGCTCCTGGCGCTCCTGGCGCTGCTGGCGCTGCAGGTGGAGCTGGTGCCCAGGCGCAGGCGCAGGCGCGTTCCGGTCGACGCAATGTGGCCAGGTCCAATGGCAATATACGCTTTCCCGTTGCCAATCCGCGCAGCTTTGCATCCGCCAATTATGTGGCGCCACGTCCGCGTTTCTATCGCACCATCGTCGCCGAGACCGGCCAGCCCATGAGGTGAGTCCCATCCACATCTGACATTATCCGCGCACATTCCGGCTAATCTCTGTTCTCCAATCCTGCAGCATTGGCGCCTTGCCGCCGCCGCCTTTCCTCGCCAATCCCGTGCAATTCGTGCCCAGCAATTGGCAGTAGGCGTCCAGTCAAATCTACAAATCTGCACAAAATATAATACTATATGCTATATATACTATATATGTATTTTAATCGAACTAATGTGTCCATATGTCGTATATTAATAATAAGTGTAAATAGCTCAATGTTCAACACGTTGCCCGATCTTGTTATCTTTTACAATATCTTCTGTTTTTTTTTGTTTTTTTTTTTTTTGTTACAAATAAAATACAACTAAAGAACTAGCCGAAATATCGTACGTTTTTGCCTTTCCTCTTTGTGCTGCATTCGTAAACGTTTTACAGGCTGTTTGATTTGCGTATTTCTTCTTTGCGTCGCATTCTTTTTTTTGTGTTCCTCTTTCAATTATTATTGTTTTTCTCAAAGCGTATAATTATTCAGAGATCTTCTTCCCTCGCTTATTCTCTCTCTCTCTCTCTCTAGTCCTCTTTCTCTTTGAATACCGCATTCGTAAATGGTCTAACGCTTCCCAACTGTAAGTTCTTCCAGTTCTTAGTTCTTTATTGGCTCTCAGTGATGTGATACGCTCTCCCATCCATCTCCCTTCAAGTCTCTCTGTCTCCCTCTCTTAAACGTTTCACAGACTGGTAGTTCATAGCTTTATACGAATATTTAAAACGTCATGCCAGCAGTCTTCTTATTAACGCATAATTTTGGCTTTCATCAACATAATTTCCCCTACTTGTGCACGAAAAGAAATGCTCGCCCTCTCACATACGCAGCACATGGACACAGCAGCTGCGCTCACTCTTTAAGCAACAGCTTGACTAAAGCTCTGCATGCACTAATACTTGTGCGCACACACACACACACATACACAGAGAGAGAACAATTTAGGCTACTTACATATTGACAAATCTGTCTGTTCATCAGTTGTTCATGCAGCTTCAAATTTGATGTTGATAAGTCAACATGCGCAGCTTAATGTCCATGCGCAACTCAATCATGCAATCAATCAATCAATCAATCAACTACCCGGGGCGTCAACGTCACCCAGTTCGCATGGAGAAATTCATGGCTCGCCCGAAGCAAATAAATTGCTTGTTTTTTTGAGCATATCTTTTGCCAATTCATTAAAAATCGCATCAGATATGTTTTACGACTTGTTGCTTTAACACCCGTTGCCCGATCTACAGCAACGCCCCGGCAGCGCAGCCCAGTTCCAGTTCCAGTTCCACGATCAGATCCAGTTGCCAGCTGAGGACGGTACGTTGATGCCTCGAAAAAGAAAAGGAAAAAAAAGAGTTGCATTGGGGCAACGCCTGACCATGTACATCAATGGAATTTACAACATATTACACTATGCAACAGCATTCGGTTGCCAGTTATATGAACTAGTCCCTGCTTGAACTTAATATTAAACAATAAATAAATCTGGAACCGGTTCAAAATTTGTTTAGCTTTTAAATATGACAAATATATATGAGTTATGTGTGCTTTTTGGCGCTGTAAAGTTGTGAAGCAACAAGCTGCAAACCAAAAGCTGATATATACCCAGCTGTGAAAAAAACAAGTTCAGGGATTCAATTTAGGTTCAAGCCGTGAACCGAACCCGTTTTCTTTGCTGTGTTTGCAGCCCTGCTTATAAGCCTACCCCAAGGGCTACTTAAATCGTTAGAGTATTCGACTTAGCATTAAATTTAGAGCATGTTTTAAAATGTTTGCATGTTTAAGGGGCTCCTGATTGCAAATGGACTACATTTCGAAGTTATGATAGGATTAACTGGAATATCAAGATGCTTAGTTCAGTAAAAATATTGAACTAGATGCATGATATACGAATTTTTAAGAGGAAATCGTTTTAAGAATTCAATATTCATTATATTAACTATACATTATTAAATTTAAATAATTGTACATATTAAAATTCTTGGTAAAAATTAATTTAACATAATTTAACAAATAGCAGAAATAAAATGACTATATTTGGTAAGTTAGTATAAATACTAGAATTAAACAGACCTCAATTATGCAGTCGTGTGTAATTTGTAAGTCAATTTGTATGCATTTTCACACATTTCATATAATTATGGGGCTGTTAACATGCTATGAAAATGGAAAACACTTTTTCGTTTTTTTTTGCCATCGATCACACAATTTTTGATCGATGGCTGGGGCAACGCCCATTTGGCTGCGATTTGTAGCCCAGATCTATTATGGACTTCCCGCACGGCGCGCAGAAAAACATGTCATGTCATTTGTAGCGCCAAATTAGACATAATTTTGGACATGTAGTTAAGCTATTTATGCGCCTTTTAATTACACATTTGGTATTGTCCACGCAAGGGCATATCAAATATATAAAATACGTAACAATAACTCTAACAAAATCGGGTACACAAAATATATGAACAACAAATAAATCACAAATGAAATACGCCTTAAGCACGTCAAACAGTACAAGATTTCACTGAATATCCTTGTTGTCCTTAACGTTGTCGCAGCCTCAGGTAGAGCCTCTCCAGGCTCTGATGGACGGCGAGCACTGCATAGGCGCCGGCAATCACACTGTTCAGCCGATATATGGCCGTCTGGCAGTAGAGCAGCACAATGCCAGCGCCCAAATACAATAAAATGGAGAGCATCCAATAGCCACGCCTGCAATGTGTTAAAAAATATACCAAAAGTTAATTCAAAGCTCAATTACACATGTATGCAGAGCTGACAAACGAGTTCCAATTCAAACGATAAAAAATTCTTTTGCTTTGATTCGAACTCTGAACCGATTCATTTTCGGTCGAATCATTGATTCAAACTCTGAACTGAATCCTCTTCAGTCGAATCAGGTTTTGCAACATTTGAGTTGTAAATATATTAAAAGTTACTTTATAGTTCAATTACAAATAGTTAAAAATCGATTTGGCAAAACTTCTAATTCTTTCTGATTCATTCATTCAAACTCTTGAGTCGAATCGTATTTTAAAAAACATTCGCAAATCCTTTATAATCATACCCTGCACCCATTGAAAGAAACCTTTCCTAGTCATGAATCAGACAATCCGTTTGTGAGACCGCTTCATAGTATCGATAAATATCGATTTTGAGCATAGGAGCTGGATTAAAAATATTTCACTTTTTGGTCATTTCCCCATTTAAGCATTTGATGTATTTCAGTTTAAAGGTAGAGCAAATACACACTTTTGTATGTCATAAGCAATGCCCGAAAATTTCATAGAGATCGGACTATAAGCACCGAAGTTATCCAAGACAGCATTTCTCATAATTTGGAGCTAGGGAAAGAAGCTCAGCTGCTGCGTAAAGTGCGAAGAATAAATACCCTTGGTTTTAAAAGACACACTATTTCCGATGGCTATTGAGTGGGATTTCGATTAAATTTCACAGATATGTTTGGATAACAGTTAAGATAACGTGAATGGTGTTTTCCATTCAAAAAATTCTGATGATACGATTATAATGCTCTAGAGTACAACAACAATTCGGATTGATCTAAACAGAGAATATATGATGAGCTTAAGTTCATGGCAGTGGTCCACGACCCAATGAGACTAGCCTTTTTTTTTCTCGCATGCTCTTAAATGTTAAGCTCACGTGCTGTTAAGCAGATCCTGTTAAACAACATCCAACATATGGAATGGGCAGCACTGCACGCTGTTTGTACACAAGGCTTGCGATTGGCTGTCGCCTTGTCAGTTCGTTCATAAAGTGCTGCCTATTTACAAACAAGAGCTAGCCCGCCAATGCGTGGAATTTGAATTTTAAAAAACTTATAAATAGCAAATGTTGGACTTACAATTTTTGCGGCGCACGCAGCTGTAGCAGCAGACTTAGTGAACCGAGCGCGACAATGTTGGTATGTAAAGATGGATCGGGAAGAACAATGCCATGCCTGTAATATGCATATATCTATTTAGATATATATATAATATAAGAGTATTGATATGCGACCCACCTCCGACTGCGCAGCCAGGCTAAGCTGGCCGGTGCGCTAAGCAGCAGCAGCATGAGGAGCATCAGCAGTAGCGTTATGTGAAACGAAAAGTTCTGCAGGCCCACGCAGCACTCTCTGTCCGCTTTATCTTCATCCGGCTGCTGGTGCTGCTCTTCAGTCGAGCTGATCTCGCCATTATTGGGCATCAGTGACTGTTCGTTCTGCTCGTTGTTGGCCGTGGACTGATCCGTTTCTGTGGAGCCGCTGCCCGTGGCCATGTGCAGCAAATTTGCCGCCTTTTGCCACAAATAATCCTCCAGATAGTCCTTGTAGGCATTGGATAACATTAGAAAATAAAACAGGAAGGCCAACAACAGTGCCAGACCGCTGCAGGCGCCCAATGCAACGCCGATTGTCAAGATGCCATACGTGATGGGCAGATGCGTCATAATGGAGAGCATTATGTTGGAACTGGATGTGGAAAGGCGCGTCAGACGCAGCGCCAAACGATGGAATGCATTGCCATAGAGCGTCAGGGCCAGCCAAACTGCCAACGCGGCCGCTATAGACAGCCCAATGGCCGTGCAGTGTATAATGATGGATATATTAATGCTGTAATCCAATTGCTCCGGCAGCGGCAAGACATTCAAATTGAGTATTAGCTTCTTAAACAGCCGACAGCCTGTGTGCGGAAACAGCACATATTAAACATAATTAATTTCATTTATTTATATTAGGCACACGCACCTGTCACCAAGTAGAGCGATGTGTACTGGAAGTAGCCGACGTAGGGCCTGAGACTCTTGAAGCTGCCCGCCTCCTGGAACTTGTCCAATTGTTTTCGTAGCACAATCAACAGCACGCAAACTAAATGCGCCGGCAACCAGCCATAAAACTCCAGCACAATACGCGACAGGGCATCCGCATACGAGTATGCATAGCTAAGAGAGAGACAGAGAAGGAGAGAGAAAGAGAAATGTTAGCATTATTTATGAGATGAGCATAGATTCAGCTTAAGCTAGCTTTGCCCGTCTCCAAGGATGATTTTAGAGGCTATTGCAGTACAGAGTAGACATGTCCAAATCCATAAACTATATATACGCTATCCGTCTACCTATTCGTCTCTCAGCTTTAAAGCTTTTGTCCGTCTTTTTATCCCAGCAGCATATATCTCTATCAGTCAAGCAAATCATAACACTATATAACATAGATTACATGGAAAAAAAACCTTTTCTTTTATAAGGATATTATGTTTGAGCTTTGAGACCTTGGCACAATTCCACTCGTATAGGTGAAAAATTGGTTGACAAAGGGTTTCAGCCACATGAATAGAATTCTTGAACGGTTTGTACTACAATAGCTAATCAGTCAGACAGCCTGCTTGCTTACCTGATGCGATAGCGACAAATGGGATCCAAGTACAGATCCAGCATAACTGGATTCAATGTGGTATTATAATGCCTGGGCATCAGTGTGGGCACATTTACATACAGGCCGGGCTTTTGATCCGGTGAGCTGCAATTTAAAGCAGACGATTATAATTTACGCTTAGCTCTAAATGCAGGGAACCCTACGTCAGCGTCTGATAGCGGTCAAAGCCGGCGGCCCAGGGCACACACAATCGGGCTGTGATGCGATAATTGGGCTGCAGGCACTGCTCCGGTTCAATATAGATGCGCAGTCCCTGATACGGCTCGACCAGATCGGCAATGCGCAGTCGATAGTGTAGTGTGCCCTGCAGAGTTTCGTTGACAACCGTGCGTCTGCCATAGGCATACCAGCGTGGCATGCGTATGTCCAGGATGCGCTCCTTGGGATCGTATATGTCCAGATTGTAGCCGGTGCGTTTGCTGCCCGGCGGCAAACGCAACAGCAGATGCGTCCACTGTTCATACGTTTTGCGTAGATTGTGCAAATCGAGGACTGCAATGCTGCGCGGATCGCTTTCTGAATTGGGCAGACGCTGGATGAGATGGGTAAGCGGCGTGGCCTTTTCGCTGCAAAGCAACCAATTGGTGTAATGTGTGAGTGCATGGGCGTGTGTGTGTGTGTCTGTGTGTGTGCACACTCACCAGTAGTTTACTTCGGTGTCATTGTGCCTATGTGACTCGCAGCCAAACAGCCAATTCTCATCGCTCTCAACATTCAAAGCCTCAATGGCCAGCTTCTGTGGGGAGGTGGGAGAATACGTTAGAAGCAGGTTAAAATCATATCAGTCGGTTACAGCCGTCTGCGTAATACTCTATTCACAGTGTCATAAGAGCCTTAAGAGAATCAATATTAACTTTTGATATTTGTACACTGGGACACTTGCTGACTTTAGCCTCTAGTCCTAGTCCGCCTGCTCTCTACCGTTTCACTGACTTCATTTCAAATATCATGTCAGACGGACAAACTAATATTCTCTCTTTGACACATTGAGTATAGAGTATAAACAGCTGGCGTTAAACTAATTTGCGTGGCACCTTGAAACGCTCTTGACGCTTTAAGCCGATCAGCTCATAATAATGACTCCTCAGGCCATTGGCAAAGAATTTGTTAATGACCAGACGATGTTCCTCGTGCCAATCGCTGTGCCTCTGCAGTTTCATCAAGCTCTGCTGCCGTATCCTCGGTTTCTAAAATGTGTGATCAATTATAGAACATGCGACAAGTGTAAAACAAATGCCAACCACAAAATGCGCCACAGCGGAGTGCATATTGCGCTGTTTGTTGCTGCTAAAGATGACGGTGCCATCGTCCCGACGCTGCGTAATGCTGAACAGGAAACGATTGATGACCTGCATGAACTGCAGACACCACACGGCGGACAAATGATCGCAGCTGAGGCTTACGCGCGGTATGGCCGAGGTCTGCAGAGCAGAAGCAAAAGTTTAGCAAGGATTGAAAATCAACAAATACTGGACTTCAGTTCTTACCATGGCATGCAGATCGTTGAACTGCGAGTTGGTCAAGCCGGCCTGCACCAGCAGATCACGATTGCCACCGCCTGTGGAAATGAGCAGCACATTGTCCAGTTTGGCGGACAACTTCTGGCTGGCCATGGTCTGTTCGCTGGGCGGCTTCTGGTGCAGGCTCTGGCACACATTTGTATCGATCGACGGCTGTGTGGCGGTGCGTGTGCGGCTGAGCACCTCGCGCACCTCCCTATAAAACTGGTCGAGATGCGCATCCAAATTGAGCACCGGCTGATCGAGTGGCGTCGATATGCTTATAATTGCATTTATGTGCTGCCCAATTTCAGTATCCGTCAGCACCGATTGCGCCAGCTTGCCGCCCATGGAGTGTCCGATCAGGACTATCGGGCTGGTCTGGCCGTACAGCGCGGCAATTGTCCGTATGCAGTGCTTGAGAAACGATTGCTGATGGTACATATAACCGCCATAGGCCGCCGACAGCTCCTCGTCGTAGTCAATCGTATAGTAGTCGAGATGTATGCCTGCATCGGGATGTTCGCGTGCCTTTCGCAGCGCCACCGACGCCAGGGAGCGCACCTGCTTGTAGGATCCGGCATTGCCGGGCACAAATATCACCGGTGCGCCCGTCATGCGCATCTTGAGCGGATCCAGCGTCTGACGCACACCCTCATAGTAGTAATATAGGCCATAGTTGGGAAACTGTTTGTTGGCACTAAATCTGACGCGCTGTTGGAATATATAAATATTTATTAATTCTCCAAATGCAACGGTTCTGTTCTTACTTACTGCAAATCTTGGCTCACCAAACATGTATGTCATTCGACAGGCGTTGGGCTCCACCTCGACGTGGATATGTCCAATGCCGTAGAAGAAACTGCATATTGAGGCAATCACAAGGAGGACTGCACAGTTTCTGAACACAATCATTTGCGTTTGTTGCGCTTTTTGTACCTGTATATTTATGCAGCGGCTTCTTGTTGTTATTCAGCTCTACCAGAGTTGCCAAATATATCGAAAATGCTTGTTATTGGACTTTCGAGTAGCTAGAGATGAGCGCGGGGTATCGTGCTTGCTCTCCCCGACTTGGGCACCTGCCAACAGCTGTTTTGTGTGTACCTACGAAACATTCCATTACACAGTTGAAACTTCCGTTTCGTTATTAATTTGTGCTTTTTTTCATTTTGAATGCCTTAAGCTATGACACACATTAATAGAATCGATACCGATAGCTGGTAAAATATCGCGAAAACTTATGCGAATTAGAATTTACTGTTTGCACTTGATAGATTCTGCATAAATTATCTATAATCATATGACTTTTAAAATATTTTACATATTATGTCGGATGAGCATAAAACAACAAAATAAAGATTTCGATATTGCGGCTTGAAATTAATCGTGATCGATAACGTGGCTTGCACACATAAAACACGCATACCACAGTTACAAAATCAGTACGCAGCACACACACACACATACACACATGTACACTGCTGAGAGCATTCCAATCGAATACCTTTTCGATCTCAATGTAGATGTGTGTATTGATCATTTTTGTTGTTGCCGTTGTTTTGTTGTTGTTTGCTCGCATCTCGTTGTGGTAGTCCATCATTCAGTTAATGAACGCGCTCGCACTCGCACTCGCGCCACACCTCTCCTCTCGTCGCAGTCAGCGCCCCCGCACGCCAACAACGCTTCGTAACGTGTTTACGTTTCTCTAAGCCAACGTGTGTGCGTGTGTGTGTGTGCGCGCTTAATTCGCGCATTGTATCTAGCTAACTAACTGGCTGGCTAGCCTCTGGGCCTGGCTGGGAAAAAGACAGGAGACGGAGAAAAAAAAAAAACAAAAAGACAGTTATGCCCTGCTGCGTCGCGCCAATAATAAAAACAAGCTACATAGCTGACGCCGTCTCGTTGTCGTCGACGTCGACGTCGACGTTGTCGTTGTCGCTGTCGTCGTCGTCGTTTGCCTCTCTCGCATCTGTCGATCGTTGATCGTTGTGTGTGTTTTGTCTTCTGTTTCGTTTTGTTAGTGTATGTCGTGGTGTCGTTTATTGTTGTTGCTGGTGCCGCCGCCGCCGCTGCTGCTGCTGTTGCTGTTGTTGTTACGCGCTGTGACTGACTTGTTCAATGATTTAGTAAAATATTCATAGCTCATTCCAAAACTTGTTCTTGTGCCTGCTGCAAATACGACAAAATATAACGCGCTACGAAATTCAATTTCTAAATATCTATCAAATTCATATATATTTTATCTATATATATATATCCGTAATGTTTTCTATGTGTAGTAGTAGTTAACAATTGTTTGTGTTGTTTTGTTTATTTATTTATTTACTTTTTTTTTTGCTATTTTATTGTTATTTGTTGTAATTATACACACAGCATCTAAATGCTTACCTAGCTGTCAATCAATCAATCAATCAATCGATCAAAGTCTTTCAAACCGTCGGCGTGTGTCTCCTGCGCCTACTTCCCACTCACTCACTCTCTCGCTCTTTGTCTGTCACTCGTGTGCAATTCAAATACGCCGCCAAGCCACCCCCCAAACGTCCACCCACCAATTGCGTGAGCCCTTTTTATCGCGCACAACAAAAAAAACATTAAGATTTGTATTTGGAATAATAAATAAACTGTATATCACAATGGAGGTCTGGCGATCGCTAACGGTTGGCGCATTTCTAGCATTGGGATTTGTTTGCTTCTATGGCATGGTGGAGTCGTGCAATGAAGTCGTCTGCGCCTCGATAGTGTCCAAGTGCATGTTGACGCAGAGTTGCAAATGCGAGCTTAAGAATTGCTCCTGCTGCAAAGAGTGCCTCAAATGCCTGGGCAAAAAGTACTATGAGGAGTGCTGTAGTTGTGTGGGTAAGTAATCAGATATTTACAACACATTATGTATATATGTATGTGTGCATATGTGAATCGATGATGTGATCTCTGGTGTGACAATATTCATTATTCATTATTGCGCTGTCGCAGTCGCCTTGTTTTTGGTTCATCGTGTGTGTGCTTGTGCGTATGTTTGTGTTTGTGTGTGTGTGTATGTGTATTTGAGATGGGCCAAAATAGATATCGTGCGCTGCAATCATCGATAGTTGAGCCGACGTTTGAAACTGGATTGCAACCATGCAATAAAATTAAACTTTAACACCTATGTTGAACCAATTGGTAACAATTTTCTCGTTTTCAGAGCTTTGTCCTAAGCCCAACGACACACGCAACTCACTGTCCAAAAAATCTCATGTTGAGGATTTTGATGGCGTGCCAGAGCTATTCAATGTGCTAGCTACCACTGAGGATAGTGAAAGTGATTTTTGGGATGTTTTCACATTTCAAGTGGATTGGTCCAGGGGCAAGCCAAAACTGGATAAAGACGGGAAATACTATTTGAGTAAGTAAAATCTTATAAAGCATAATGAATATATCTTATAACACATTTTCGTGATAGAATTCAATGATAAAAATCTAGATGAGGCACGTGAGGAACGTGATAATACGCTGACAGTGAATTGTACGGTTATATATTTGGATCAGTGCGTATCCTTGAATAAATGCCGTCAAAGTTGTCAAACAATGGGCGCTAGCAGCTATAGGTGCGTAAAATTCACTACCAATACATTTATAAAACTTTGTTCAAGTCAAATGATTGTATTTTCTCCCTTTTAAGATGGTTCCACGATGGATGTTGTGAGTGCGTAGGATCTACGTGCATTAATTATGGAGTCAACGAGAGTCGTTGTCGACATTGTCCAGAATCGAAAGAGTTGGGCGATGATTTCGACGATGAAATCGATGAGGATATGCAGGACTATGGCGACAGTATGGGTCCATTTGATGGCTCAGTGAATAGCAATTATTGATAACAGCGAACAAATGCCATTTAAAGAACAAGAAAATTTAACAAATTAGTTACTCAATTCAGTGACATTATTATTGTGTAGTACGAAGTAATTTTTTATAGCATTATTATTATTATTATTTTTTTTTTATATATATGTATATAAATATATATATATATATATATAAATATATATAATATTAAAGAATAGGACCTTTTGATTGTTTTTCATTTTGAGCAGCCCGAGATATTTTTTAAAACCGAAAATAAAGATTATACATAAAAATGAAATTAACGTGTTGATAAACGATATTTTTTGGCATGCGGGTCACACAAGGGTTAATACAAAATTTTCGATGAGAAGTATGCAACAACGAGAACAAGCAACTATTTGTTTTTTATGCAACAGAAAGCGAATGCGGGAGTGCGGAATCCTCTCTAGCCATTTGGCCTACAAATTATAAACAAAAAAGATGTGCCTTTCAAAATGACAACTTTATAAAAAATTAATAGTTTGCTCACAGCCCCCCAACAACATCGAACAGCTGATTGAGCGCTGCTGTCAGGCCAGCCGCTTTGCGCCGGGGTGGCAACTCTAATGCATGTTATTTCAAGCGAACAACATCAAGTTACGTATTCGAACCGGCGGCCACAAGTCGCAATAGAAGAAAAGTGGCTGGAAATTATGTACAAAGGCCTGCGACATTTTAGAAATGTGCTGCAACGTGGATCCCACAATCTGGCGCGATGCCACGCCTACGTGACGCACATGAGCAATCCAAATGCAGTTGCCGCTGCCGCTGCCGCAACCGGATTGCCCAGCAAGCTGTGCGGCGCCGCTGGCCTAAATCGGCAGCTAATTGCGCCCGCCCTTCAGCCGTTGAGCTGGCGACAGGTAAGTGGCGGCATAATTGAAACAAAATGGAACACATTTAACATTATGCCACACAGATGCAAATGCTGCGGTCAGAGTACAAGGCAATTGTGGGCGTTATTGCACGTTCTCTGCAATTGACGCCACGCGAGGTACAGCAATTGCATCTGCGCTGCTTATGCTCCCGCAAGACAGACACGGACAAGCACAGCAGCGGCAGCAACAAGGACAGCGGCAAGGAGAGCAGCAAACCCGCCAAGAGCGACAAATCAACCGATCCGAGCAACGAAACGCCGCCAGACAGCGGCAAGGAAACGTCACAGGGGTCCGGTTCCGGCTCCGGCGAGGAGTCATCAAATCCCAACAACAACAAAAACAATGAAAACGATGAGAAAATGCGCTCGGTTCTCACTAAAGCAGTGCTTTGGCTGTTCACTATTTACATGTTTGTGGCCTTTATCTCGTTGCTTATAACGCCGCGCACCGAGCGTCCCGAGGGCTCCACACGTTACGTTTCGTGGAATGAGTTTGTGCATCATATGCTAGCCGTGGGCGAAGTAAAGGAGCTGATCATACGGCCGGATATGGAAATGGTAACCATTATACTGCACGACGGCGCTGTCATCAAGGGACGCAAAGTAACATCCACCATATTCCACATGGCCGTTGCGGATGCTAACAAGTTCGAGGAAAAGCTGCGCCTTGTGGAAAAACGTTTGGGTATTACAGACGGCGTACCAGTTACTTATGATCGGCAAACGGACACCACTGGCCGCATCCTGATGCTGTTGCTTTTCTGCGCCCTGCTCATGTCCATTGCCACGCGCATGAAGAGCATGAAAAGCCCACTCAGCATGGACTCATTTGTTAGTAAATCTGTGTAGCCGTTCTTGAAGCCTTTCCTAATTTGTTTTAACCTGCAATTACAGAACCAAATGGGCAGAGCCAAGTTTACGCTCGTTGATCCGTTTGATGGCGGACGCGGCGTACTTTTTCGCGATGTCGCTGGCCTTAGTGAGGCCAAGCAGGAAGTTAAAGAGTTTGTTGATTATCTGAAGACACCAGAAAAGTATCAGCGCTTGGGCGCCAAGGTGCCTCGCGGCGCTCTGCTATTGGGTCCACCCGGCTGTGGCAAAACGCTGCTGGCCAAAGCGGTTGCAACCGAAGCGCAGGTGCCCTTTCTCAGCATGAATGGATCGGAGTTTATTGAAATGATTGGCGGTCTGGGCGCTGCACGTGTTCGTGATTTGTTCAAGGAGGGCAAAAAACGTGCACCCTGCATTATTTACATTGACGAAATCGATGCGATTGGACGACAGCGTTCCGGCACCGAAAGCATGGGCCAGGGCAGCTCCGGCGAGTCCGAGCAGACGCTAAATCAGCTGCTTGTCGAAATGGACGGCATGGCTACCAAGGAGGGCGTACTTATGCTAGCGAGCACCAATCGAGCGGACATACTCGACAAGGTAGTATCCTGGCCAGGGCTTGGATTCATTTGTTCAGCTTCTAATTGATTATAATTGAATATTTGCAGGCCCTGTTACGTCCCGGTCGGTTTGATCGTCACATACTTATTGATTTGCCGACGCTTCAGGAGCGCAAAGAGATATTCGAGAAGCATTTGTCATCAGTCAAATTGGCTGAGGCGCCCAGCAGCTATTCACAGCGTTTGGCACGCCTCACGCCCGGCTTCTCCGGCGCCGATATTGCCAACGTATGCAACGAGGCGGCGCTCCATGCGGCACGCAACGTACAGCCAGAGGTCACCAGCAAAAATCTAGAGTATGCCGTCGAGCGTTTAGTTGGTGCGTTGCATTGCATTGCCAGCAATTGGCCAATCATTCATTGTTTTACTGCTTCCAGGGGGCACCGAGAAGCGCTCTCATGCGCTTTCGCTGACCGAACGCAAGGTGATTGCGTATCACGAGTCTGGCCATGCGTTGGTCGGCTGGATGCTGCCCAATTCGGATATTCTGCTCAAGGTGACCATTGTGCCGCGCACAAGTCTGGCCCTGGGCTTTGCCCAATATACGCCCAGCGAACAGCATTTGTATTCCAAGGAGGAGCTATTCGATAAGATGTGCATGGCATTGGGCGGTCGTGCGGCAGAGAATTTGATATTTAATCGCATCACAACGGGCGCACAAAACGATTTAGAGAAGGTCACCAAGATTGCCTATTCACAGATCAAGAAATTCGGCATGAACGAACGGCTAGGTCCCATCTATGTGCGTGATTCAAATGAGACTGGCGGCGGCGGTGGCACCAAACCCTTCTCCCGTGCGATGGATAGCATTATCGATCACGAGGCGCGCAACGTCGTCTCCCACGCGTATCAAACAACCGAAGATATACTGAACAAGCATCGCGACAAGCTGGAGAAGGTAATGCTTTTATCTCTCTCTTTCTTGCTCTCTTTTTCCTTCATGCTAATGCTGTGTGCACTTTTGCAGCTGGCGGAAGCTCTGCTGGATAAGGAGACGCTTGACTATGATGAGGTGGTCAATCTGATTGGACCGCCACCATTTGATCCAGCCAAACGTCAGGTGGACTCTGTCGAGTTTGAGCAATCGCTGAGGAATCTTGGCACTGATGAGCCCAAAGCTTAGTTGGAAAACCTTAATATAGCTGTGGCTGACCCCAACACACTTTTCTCCACAAACACACAAACACACACACACACCCTCCCTCATACATTGTCACACAACACCCGCGCTCCTGCCACCTCTCTTTAGACAGCCGGTTCATGTTCAATAAATGTAAATAAAGTTGTTTACCTTTTTAATTGATTATAACATTGCACCGACGACTTGTTAAAGCCGCATTAGCCTTCGAATTACCACTAATTGGTGCCCCTTAAACGTCCAGTCAAGTCGCCTACCCCACGCCAATCTCGCGACTGGTTAACTGTGCAATCTGTCATCGGGCTAAGTGCTCGTACTTTTCCATATGGGTTTAAGCATAGGGGGTCTTTAGCCTATGCCTCACGCTGTGCTGAACTCTTGCACCCACTTGACACCTTCCAGCTGTTATCTCACATGCAAGCCACAGTTAAGTTTAATGCACAGTGCTCACTCGCTAATAAGAACGCCTCAGCCTAAAAATGTAGTGCTTTCTAGAGATACAAAAGAAGCTCTATAAGAAATAAGAATTTTCGATTTAATGCAAATCAAGTCAATTTGTGAATTAGTTCTGGAATTTGTAATTTCTTGAATGTTCCATTTGCTCGCAGTATTTGTTTGCGAGTATTCACTGTAATATACACACAGAATTGATCAGTACCCTACATTAAGATGATGCGTACATCCAAGGCTATGAGAACAGAAAAGTTATTTATATGGTATATGGTTGGTTAACATAACCTATAAAACTTTGTTAGGTTATGTGCGCCAATTGTCAGTTCTTAACTTAATCAAATTAGCTAGACTACAAAATGTATGCATATACCATTTACCTTTAATTATAATTATGCTAATAAAAACAATGCAAGCTTTGTTAAATTCGATTTTGTTTGTTTCATTTTAGAACCTAACCTCAAAAAAGATTTGTTAGGTTAGGTTCGTTTTGTGCTGATAAACGCGGATTGTTGTGATGTGTCTAGATCGTTTTGGATTAACATAGTGAACGCGAATTAATTTCAATTGAATTTCGCCCTTTATATCTTCTATTTGTGTCGATAAGCTCAATCAAAAAAGCGGTCATATTTTAGTTGTATTTACTATGTCAATATCAGGGTCTAGTCAATTAGTCTTACAAATTTTGTTTACTTGACAAAAATGCGATACGTAAGTGCGCGGCCCATGAGCTTGCTAGACCTACGAATACCCTGTAAATAATAAAGTCATAATCTTTTTGTTATATATCAATTTGAGAAGGTCTTGAATGGAAGAACAGTTAAGAGCTAAGACTCCTGCGGCTAGAGGGAATTACATCGACTACAAAATGTGGATTGTATAGTGCACAAACTATGCTTACATAATATTACCGACAGGGCATATGTTCAACAGGAATGTGTTTACCCTATCATTTGGTTGTGAATTTTGAGGACAACTGGTTTCTGGCCAAGCTCATACGTCAATAAACAGAGCTCGCCTGTTTAATTTTAATTGAAAATAATTATAGTATAGTATTAAATTTTGAAATATTCAACGAGCTATTAGCCAAGCCACAAGCCAATGTACGTTCGCAGTTCGATTCGTTCGGATTAATATTCTATTTGTAGTGCTAATGCATCCATAATTGC